ATGTTCAGTATTCACAACAGCGGCAAAGTGAAGTGGAGTATGACAATGTATTGGAAGTTGCTGAGAATAGCTCCGAATCAAATGTTCCAGCTTTTGGAGAATGTTCCGAGTCACATTTTTCAGTTGCTGGAGAGTGCTCTGAGTCACAAGTTTCTGTGGCTGGAGTGTGTTCCAAATCACATGCTACTGTTGATACCACGTCTGCTGAGGCTGCTAGTACATCAACGGACGAGTAAGTTCTAATATGAGTTGATTATACTTTTTTAAGATACTTTTTAGTGAAATTTTCAGACTAAAAAATAATTATTTAAAAAAACAACATTAATTATTTCTTTCACTGACAAAGCTGTTAATACTATTTTAAGATGAAAGAATCTATTTTTCTAACAAGATTCATTGCGTGCTTGTGGAGTAATGCCCATAAAACAAAAATTATTGATCATTTAACCACGGAATATGGGTGGAGAGTTGTCGACGAAAAATAGCAAATGATCTGGTTTGCGGGTGAACAATTGCCAAAAGCGTATGAAGATGTAGTCACAACACCAGATATTTTTGAGGATACTCCAGAACTAGGTATATTTTTTCTGCAATGATTGAAGAAATCGTTATTCATGAAGAAAAATTTCGTTTAATATTCTCATGATTTTTTGTTACAGATAAACAATCTGAGGATGAAATCGAGCTAGAAGAGGAAGATGATTCTACCGACGAAGATGATGATTGAAAAAAAAATTCAAAAAAATTTATATTTTTTATACTTATTTTCTCATAAATAAAATTTTTGTAGTTCAAAGAATATATAATGTTTTATTCGTTTGCTATTTTTTCAGCTTTTTAATTTGTTAAGTTAAAAGATTTGAAAAAATACAAAAAAAATTCTTCCCACTGTCAGATTAGGCGAATCCTTCCAGATAATCGTCAGATTATGAGACAGCACGTTTAGAGTATATAAATGAACCATATATATCTTAATCTGACGCGCTCGAGTATTTCAAAATGGCGATTTTTTTTGCACATTCTAATAACGGCCGCGAGTTTGGGTCACATCCGAATCGTCAGATTATTACATAAGAGCCTTCTTTTAGGTTCACTTAACATCCCCTTTGAAAATCTGACGCGCTCGATAAAAAAATTTTTTCGTTTCAATGTACGAAAACCCCAATCATGGAAACAATAAGATTAACATACGTATGCTTTCAAAAATACGTAGGACATAGATGCTATTAATATCTGACGCGCTCGAGTATGTCCATACAGCTTTTTTTTTTACATTTTTGAAAGTTTATAGCCGCTCCCCCCACCTATGAAAGTGTATATTATATTATATGACTTTTTTTCTTCTTATCATCTAGGCTTATAATAAAACATATAATAAAACAATAGGTCTCTTTGACGCTCGAGTAAATCCCGATTTAGCACCCTCCCCTACTATAGGTACAGAAAGGAAGGACTATGGAAAGTCATAATTAGTTGTTTATTATGACAAAAATCGCTGCGAATCAACCCTTTTTAAAACTCTTTTTTATTTTTTTATCGTCGTTAATTATACTATAAAAGTTATAAATATTATACATCTTTATTATTGTAATATAATAGACTAGTATTTCTATTATTTAATACCTGAATATTTCAATTAATTTCTATCATATATTTCTAAATTTCAAGAACTTTTAAAGACAATATGAAGCCTTTACTTAGCCATAATGATACTTAAAGATCGAAATTATTATATTTTAAATGTATGCTTATTAATGAATTTTTTATAGCTTAAGGATGACAAAGGAGCACACAGTCCACCGGATGTTAAGTGGATGTTGTGGCCCATGGGCATCTACATCTTCTTTGATTTAGAATCAAAATGCAGCTGCGTTGTCACCGCTAAGGACTAAAATAGAATGTCTAATTTCCAGTTGAAGCGTCTCCGATTTAGTACACACATATTAAGCACAGCAACATAAAGCTGCTGTTAACCGCTGATATTCTGTGAGAGTATGTTCCTTGTCCGGTCAAGTCAAACCCATTTGTGCAGCAACCATGCCGCTTCAGCGTCGCTGAGCATAGTTCTCGTCATATTTCGCTGAACAACTTTGAGCTTCCTAATACGGCCAATAGTGAAGGACTACGTCTCAAATGCATAAGCCATACTGGATACTATACTGCCAACTATTCGAAGTCATGAACAAATCCTTTATAATTAAAGGCTACCTGGCGTAAACAAGACGTTTATATTACTTTCCTCGATAGTGTCGGACCCACGGGACGGAATGTTTTTTGATAATTAATACACATGTCTCATGTATACCCACTCAAACACTCTCTCTCTCTTTACTAAATGAAAAAATACGGTTTACCCTACAGGCCATCCCTGAATGTCCCGCTTATTTCAAATGCAAAGCGCTTCAAATGTCACCTGTTACATCGATTTTGAGTTTTTGAGCATTTTTGAGCTATTTAATTTTGATGCGGTTTGCGGCAATTGACGCAGTTTGTTTGAACTTGACAAAAACATTTATCACAAAAAAATTTATAACAATATTTATATAATTTTGAAAAAACACCTTTTTGAAATTTCTTTCGACAACGGTATCTCTCGAACGAATCAACAGATTTTGAAGGCGTTTACGGCACTCGACGTTGTTTTTTGTGTAGAAAAACTGATTAGATTATAAAATTGATCAAAACAAAGGTACCGTAGTAATTGCAAAGGGAAACACTTTCTGAAAAATGAAAATAGTTGGATTTTTGAGGTTTTTTTTTTGAATCAACAGTGCCGATTCTATTTAAATTCACAGAAAATCATAGCGATTATTCCGTATACTATTGTTGTATATGTGTTATATACAGCATATTGGTTGTTTATATCCTATACCTTTAAACGAGCAATTCTTGATATATATATATATATATAATCGGAATCTCGGAAACGGCTCCAACGATTTTCATACAATTTTGTGTGCAGGGAGTTTCGGGGGGCAATAAATCGATCTAGCTAGGATTTATTTTTAGAAAATGTCTTTTTTGTCCGTGTTTTTAGGCAATGAAAAACTGCTACAATATCGTTAGAATAAGAAGGTAAATTTTGACAGTTTATTACAGATTACAAATAGCTTAATTGGTATATTGGGCGGTCACAAAATCGTAATACCATGGTTCGAGCCTAGACCGACCGACCGACTTTCTAAGTTCCTTTCTTTTTTGAGAAAATCTATAAACCTGCCCTTTTTTTAGTATTTTTTAAAAACACGAAAATTTAAATTAAACTAATTGCACTCATGATTTTTTATTTAAATAACCAGTTCAGTTTTTTCTATTATATGGCTACGATCAAAAAATACTATTCGTATTTCATCAGTATGTAATTTGTATCTAAATATAATTTCCAAAACACATGAATTAAAAAAAGAGCAAAGCTCGGTCAACCGGGTACTAAATTTATATATATGTAATATTTTTATTTTAACAGTTACATGTTTGAAAACATTGATAAACTAATGCACTTAATTGCAGAAATCAATATTTTTATGCTCCGATGAGATAAATATAAAGGAAAATAATTAAAAACTGAAACTATATAATTATAATTGTAACTAAATAAAATAGAGAAACTAAAAACGTGTAATGACAGTGTAAGAATATCCACTACACCATATCATCCCGCGGATGTTGTAAGTGAGGACAGGGGGAACACATCAGGAGATGGGCAACAGAGTCATAACCTAACGACAAAAATGTATTTATTTATTTATTCTTTACTTGCACACCGAGTACAAAAAGGCGGACTTAAGGGGAAATATAATCTCAAATGGCTTAGCAAGATCCTTCGTTATGCCGAAAATATTGCAGCATTAATTTTGAAATAAATATATGGTAAAGTTAAGGATTAATGTTAAGGATTATGTTAGACGAAAACACGATTTCGTAAAATTTTCTCCATAGAAAAAAAATCCAAAGTTACCTCCAAAATAAACAATAAACCGCTGTTATTCATAAAATACTTTAAATAAGATCATGAAACTTTGCATACTAACTGAACTAACTATAAAGCAGTGCTTATGTTATTTACTTTTTTTAAATACCATATTATTTTCACTGTAAAAAGAAATTACCTAAACTATCGGCCTCTTGAATCTTGAAGCGTCATTCCTGCCGCACGGTCACTTCGCTTCGGCCTTTGAACGGGGAGGTTGTGTCGCTTACGATCAGAATATACATTACGCAACAGGACGACGTAAAATTAAAATGGGAAATAACCGTAATAAAAATAAGGAAGCGACTGGCTTGGCGTTAAGAAACAGGCATAAATATGATACACCTAATGAAATAAGTGTCTAACGACCTTTCTACTTATAGTATTAGTGATTACAAACATGTCGGTACATAGCATACGACCCGCGGGCAAGTGGGGACGAAATTAGAATTTGAGCTGACTTACTCTATCCCCTTAATGCAACAGGCATTCTCTACCAGTCTACCTCCAGGCTAAGCAGAGAAGATATTGTGGGTGCAAAGTGTATCTGAGTTAAAATATCTATAAGTAAACACACATTACCTATTGCGATACATGTTATAAAGATAATTTATACATATATATTATTATATAGATATACATTCAAGATATATAAAAATATATACATATATTTGCTTAATACTGCCTGTGTACATATGCATATATAATAGATACAGACATAATTAAATATAGCTGTTTCTGATTCAAACTCCTATCAAATTAAAAATAACTACGAAAAAAAATCCTTTTATGAGACAATTTATGGGGGCCTATGTTCCGAAGTGGACTTTAATAGGCGGTAACGATAATCTTTACCTAAACGTAACATACAATTGTTGATGCGTCTTTTAGTGATCTTGTAACTTCTGAACTTGACCGATTGAGATCGTATTCACACATGCTAAGATCCAATAGGTGGCGGTGTAATCAAACTATTAACAAATCCGATATTCGGGGACCAAAACGACTGTTAAAGTATCAAAAAAGAAAATCACAAATTCTGAACCCAATAGGTGGCGCTGTGGTCGAGTTATTAAACAAATGTGTACGCTAAAAAGTCCGGAATGAACTTGGAGTTAACTTACCGGACCAACTTACTAGAAAGGCTAAAAAAAGAAAATCACAAAATCTGAACCCAATAGGTGGCGCTGTGGTCGAGTTATTAAACAAATGTGTACGCTAAAAAGTCCGGAATGAACTTGGAGTTAACTTACCGCACCAACTTACCAGAAAAGGCTAAACAAGAAAATCACAAATTCTGAACCCAATAGGTGGCGCTGTGGTCGAGTTATTAAACAAATGTGTACACTAAAAAGTCCGGAATGAACTTGGAGTTAACTTACCGGACCAACTTACCAGAAAGGCTAAACAAGAAAATCACAAATTCTGAACCCAATAGGTAGCGC